GCCAGTGGTGGCCTCTCCCTGCCAGACGTAGCCGTTCCAGCTCTCTGCTGGTGCGACACCACACTGCTATTCTTAGACTCCAGGAGGTCTCTGTGGGTAGCTGTGAACTCCCCGATGCCTCCAGTAGCTCAGCAGATATCAGGGTGGAGCAGGATCTGCCAGTGCTGGTGGGGAGGAGAGGCCCTGGTGAGCTCAGAGGGGGTGTGGGTGGCAGCGAGGGGTGGCAGAGCCCCCACTGGCATGGGGAGCTGTGCAGCACAGCCTGGCCAAGAGCTGCACCAGCCAAAGGCAATTAACTGTCTAGGGAGAGGTTTAGCTGATGAGGAAAGCTTGGAGCCTCTGAGAGCACTCCAGGTGGTGGTGGCTGGGCAAGATGCTGCCCCAGCAGAGATGCAGAATGCAGGGCTCTGCCTGAAAGTGCACCTAAAAAACACATCTGAATTTCACAGCTTTGCTTTAAAATGGAACCACGGGGTCCCCATCACCACCGTCCTCAGCAGGAGGTGTGGAAGACAAGCAGTGAGGCTGCGGCACACCAGGACACCCCATCCTGAGCTGGAGGAGGGCTGGGGAGACCTGGCATCTCCCAGCTCCCACCCTCTCCTCGAGCCTGGTTTCCAAGCAGGAGGGTTTAAATGCCTTTTATGTTGTGACTCAAACGATGAAAGGCCCGAAAATGGGACTAACAAAGATGAGTTGTACTTCAGAATAAAAAAACCCGTGAAAGCAGCAGATGCTGTCATAGGAATAAATTGTATCAACAGCGATCAGATGGGAAGTGAAAAGTCAGAACGGAGTTGCTCCCTCTTTCCCGTTTCCAGCAAAAATTTCTGGGTCCATGAATTTAGCCAGAATCAGGTAGGATGAAAGGCTTTGTCTGACAAGGCATTTCAAAGCATCCAGGAGCCTCTGGAGAAGATGTGGCCACTTGGACAGGGAAACGGAGGCCCTCAGTTTTAATGAGCATTTCAGTTGCCTTCCTTTATCCTTCTGCCAAGATCTCCCTTCCCCCCCTAAAAAACTCGGTTTCTGCTGTTTGTGATATGTTCTAACTTCGCAAGATGTGCATTTAAGCAACACGAGGCGAGGAGGATGAGGGTAAAACAACCCTGTCACTCCATAGAGCCCGGGCTGCTGGTTCCTGCCATAAACACCTCCCTGCTGCAGCCAGCCCGGCTGCTGCCAGGTCACCATCTTTCAGCATCTCCCGTTCCCTTCCCAGCCCCTGTAACGATTTCCCATCTCCCCGTCTCCCCTTTCTGCTGCGCCTGGCTCTCACGCGGGCTATAATTAATAGAAATTAGACTGTTGAGCCCTTGCAGCCCCCATCCCATAATTACCTGGCCTCGCTGCGTTCGAGGCCCCGAGCTGGGCGGTGAGCTCGCGAGCCACCGGCGACGGCCGCGCATCCCCTTAACAAGCTATTTTTATTAAGCTTTTAATGCAGGCACTCGTGTGGCGCTGGGGGATGTGCAGCCTCTCCACAACGTCCGCTCCCAGGGGGGCACGCGGGGGGATATTTTGGGATGAAATGTTGGCACCGGAGCTAGACAAAGCAGGATATTAGCAAAGTGCCGTGTCCCGAGCACGTTCACGGCTCCCATTAATTCCCAGCTTCCTCCAGCCGCTCGACAGCCAACCGTACAGATTTCAGGGGCTTGGCAGAGCGTTGATGCTCAGCCAGTGGTGACCCCCCACCCTGGTCCTCAGCTCCCCCCACAAGAGCCGTGCAGGAGCGGAACAGTGCCCGACATCTAAGCGGGCGCACAGCATCTCCTCACCAGCTCATTAAACCTCCTAACGACCCCCGTGAAGGCGCTGGGCGGCCCCGCGTGATGGGCAGAGCACAGCTATTCACACCGCTCTGCTTTTATCGCTGTGCTTTTCTCGAGCTGGTAAAAAGTTCACTGCAAAGCACAGGAGAGGTCTCTGAAAGGCAGCTGCACTCAGGACCCAGCGTGCTGGCACACATCTCCACCGGGAACGGGGCTCTGCCCGCGCCTGTGACGCTCGCTTGGCTGCCCACCCGCTGGGATGTTCACTTGGAGGGCTCGCAGCATCACGCGCCCGCCCCGAGATGAGGCCGAGGGCCTGGGGAGAGGTGCTGCTGCCCATTTCGGGTGCAGGAGAGAGACCTAAGGCTGCGGGCTGGGCTCCAAATGACGCCATCACTTTTTTGGGAGGAGGAGGAAGAAAATGTGACAGAGCCGGTGGCTTTGATGCCTGCCCGTCAGTCTCTTTCCCCCCTGCTGCAGACAGAATAATGTGTCGCCAAATGTGGAAGAAGGTACATGACAGGCTCCAATTTGCCCTCTTCTCCACCAAACACAAGGACATCCAGTAAATCTGAAATGCAGAAAGACTGCAAAAGGATGAAAGGGAGCCCACACCGCATGGCACGTAATTGGCTTGTGGATCTCGGAGGCACAGGACACCGCTGGGGTCGGGACCTCAGCAGGATTACACGTTTACAGAGCTAATGCTCTCCCTATTAGCCACGCCAGCATAAAACCACTGCAGAAGGGCCCTTCACCTCCCTCTTTGGGCTGTCATCTGCTCCCTGCTCCAGGCAGGCAAAGGTCCAGCCAGTACACATCTGGTTTTCTGCAGCCTCTGCTGGTTTTTGCCTGTCCTGTGGATGGAGGCTGGATGGTGAGGCAGCAGAGTGTGCACCGAGAGCCTGGGCAGCTGTCACTTTGCTCTTGCATCTCACATTTGCTCTGTTCTGTCTGTATTTCTGATCCTAACAAAACTCTCTGTAGGTCCCAGCCAGCAGCTGGCAGGGAAACGAGCTGGTGAATCTGCTTTAGCTACCTATGAGCTCCTTCAGCATTTGATACCGATCAGCTGCTGTTCATCTGGGGTGGGTTTTGTCATTTCATCTGCAATTGTTTTGCTGTAAAGCGCCTCGGAGGGTTTGCTAGCCTGTTTTACAAAGGACACCGTTCTTATTACTACTGTGAATGAACTACTTTGCATTTCTGTGAATGAGAAGTAAAACTTGTCACCTCAGGACAAAAAGGGAGTGGAAGTATCTGATGATCCCCTGAGAGCCTCAGACAATCCACTAAGCCCAAGTCATCCTGGGTTTCTCTTTCCTCGGGGGCAATTGGAATTATTAGTCCCTTCTCAAGGACCTCAAGATCTCCCTGTCCTTTGCCAATTCCTGTCCCAGCTTTGCTGCAGGCTGCTGGCACATCACACTGGAGCCCTGTCCTGTGGTCCTATGCCAGGGATCAGCAGAGGATGCCTCGTGCCTTCTGGGGTCAGGATGGCAGCACCAGGAGCTGGTGAAGCCCCCAGCCGTGCCTGAAATCCTGCAGTATCTATGCATGCTGCAGTCAGGGTGTCCCCTGGGCCACGCTGTCCTCTCCCAGAGGAGCAGAAGCAGCCTGGTGTCTGCTGACACCTCCAGCTGTGGCAGGACCCAAGGACTTGACTCAACCATCTGCAAAGGCAGATGTGTCATTTCCATCCGGCCTGCCTCTGCTTCAGGAGGGTCCCAGTGGCTTTTGAGACACTGGTCCATCACACGTGATGGATTGAGACACAGAGACACAATAAACCCTCTGGCAGCAAAGAAAGGAGAATCAGAAAAAGATTATCTCTTCTTCCTGGTATCCAGGGATAGGACACATGGGAATGCTTCAAAGCTGCGCCAGGGCAGGTTTAGACCAGACATTAGGAAGCATTTCTTTACCAAGAGGGTGGTCAAACCCTGGGACAGGCTTCCTGGGGAGCTGGTCAACACCCCAAGCCTGTCAGTGTTTAAGAGACAGTTGGACAATGTCCTTAGTAACAGCTTTTAACTTCTGGTCAGCCCTGGTGTGATCAGGTAGTTGGACCAGAAGATACTTGTAGGTCCCTTCCAGCTGAAATGTTTATTCTATTCTATTCTATTCTATTCTATTCTATTCTATTCTATTCTATTCTATTCTATTCTATTCTATCCATCTGCCTCCAACCCTATGCAAGCAGCAGCCCAGCCTCTGAGCTAGCTAATCTCTCAAACACTGGCTTTTAGGCTCTGCAGGGAGGTACCAGGCTTGGG